TTCTTCCAGAACCGCAGGCTTCGGGGGAGAGTTGTGACAATAATCTCCTTCAAGAGATTGAGCCTGCTCTTCCCTTCATAATTACGTCTTCACAACTATATAAAAGACTATGGAAGAAATGTCCAACAACGACAACAAACACCAGCAAGGCTTGCCAGGGTGAGCAGAAACGTATGCAACCAGCCACCTGTTCGAACTCCAACCACCAAACTACCCGTTGATCGCTACGACTCCGCTGATTGGTCGCCGGTCTGGCTGCACCTGCCTCGCCCCCCCCAATACTACCTGATGTCTGGGGTCGCCCCAACATCAGTCCTCAGAATGTTCCGTGCTTTCGTAGCCAGCACTCCTCCCAGCTAGACGTTAGCGTGTACTGAGAGAGGTGGTGGCTTTAAGCCAATATTCCAGCACCTCCCACTTAACTTTTGTATTGCACTTCTTGTTATTTTGCCTTAACGTAACTTTTCATTGTGTCATCTAATTATTCTTATTATTTTGATTGATTTTATTATACATATTTGTTTGTGCATTATTTTCATGTTTTGATTTATTTAACGTAATTAAAATTTCATTGTTAAAGTTTTACTTGTGTTTTGTGTGTCTTCTCCTTACCTTACCACAGACGAAGTTCCAGTTTTCTATTTTTTTTTATAACTATGTGACGAGGCCATACCCCTAGCCTTAAACAGCCGAACACCAACGCGTTACCGTCACAATATATATTCCCTAAATCATTATAATTTTCCCTATATTTATTTTTTTTTGGGAGGGGGGTATTTTTTCTTGACTTCATTTCAACACATTGACTTACAACTTTCACATATTCAAGTACAAATGCCAAACAATGTTTATTAAGTCTTATAAGTAAATTAATGAATTAGAACTACCATAATTATTGTCTGCTGCAAAGTACAGTAGAGTGCCAGGCGATGTGCCAACAACTATTGGCTCCAGCTCAGCTCCCAGACACTGCAGCTGATGCGCTGGGGCAAGCACTACTCTGAGCTATATGCCAAGGAGAATGTGGTCACCGAAGATGCCCTGAGCACCATTAAGTGCCTGCCTGTGTTAATGGAGCTCGACAGCGAACCGACCCTCGAAGAACACAGTGAAGCCCTAGACTCCCTTGCTTTTGGCAACGCTCATGGAAAAGACAGCATTCCTGCTGAGACCTTGAAGTACTGCAGAGGTAACCTGCTCATGGAGCTGCATGAAATCCTCTGCCTCTGCTGGGAAGAAGGAGAGGTGCCACAGGACATGAGGGACGCCAACATCGTCATGCTGTATAAGAATAAAGGTGACGGGGCGACTGCAACAATTACCACAGCATCTCCCTCCTCAGTATTGTCGGAAGCTGTTTGTGTTGGGCGGCTCCTTCTCCTGTCGGGGGGGTTCATGGTTGGCAGGGCATGCTTCTTCCCTATCTCTCTGTCAGGTCATCTTGGAGTTGGTCTGCTTGGGTCTGGTTGAAACGACTTCGTCCCTCAAGTGGGTTTCTAGCTTGTTTCCAGTTCTGAAATGGGACTGTGCAGATCTTTGGTTCATTCTGGACTTGTCCCATCTGAACCGTTTGATTCCTTGCCCTTCCTTTTGGATGACTATATTGTTCCAGGTCCAGCTTCTTCTCGAGTCGGGCGCTTGGATGCTTTCTCTGGACCTCAAGGATGCGTATTGGCACGTACCTATTCATCCAGGGTTCAGGGATTGGTTAGGTTTCATGGTCGGGCATCAAGTTTACCACTTTTGTTACCTTCCAATCAGTCTGAATCTGGCACTTCATGCGCTCATGTGTTTAAGAAGAGTCGTAGTGTCCCGTCTTCGTCTGCTAGGTATTTGGCTTCTGGCCTACCTCGACTATTGGTTGGTATGGGCTCCTAGCCAGTCTGCATGACTGATCGCCAAGGAAGTGGTTCTTTCCCAGGTTGCAGGGTACGGGTTCCTAGTGAATTGGCGGAAGTCTCTCCAGGTTTCATCTCAGGTTCGGATTTGGCTGGGCCCCGTGTGGGATTCTCGGACTGCATCCGTTTCTATCCCTCCTGTGGTTTTGCTCCAGTTGCAGTCCCATTGTCTGCTGTTTTTGAGAGGGACCAGGGTCACTTGGCGATTGCTCGAACAGTTGTGCGGGAGTCTGATTTTCCCGCCGAGCAGAGTTTGGCTGTTCTGGTATCTTTAGGGCAGCCCCTTCCGCCGCTCTTGTGATTGCTGCGTTCGGCTCCCAGGGTCCTTGTGTTGGTTGCTGCATCTCCAGTTTCCTCTTTGGATTTTTCAGGGTTCGGGGTATGGCACCCTCCCCTTCCCTCGCTCGATGTGTTCATGGACGCCTCATCTCTCGGCTGGGGTTTTATGACCAGCCTTCACCAGGCCGGCCAGGGGCATTGGGCTCCATCCTTCTGTTGGGCTCACATCACGGTGCGGGAGTTTGTGGCTGTGTGGCATGCACTGCAGCAGATTCGGTTGCCTCGGGGCTCGGTGATTCACCTCCATTCGGACTGCTCTCCTGTGGTTTATCGTCTCAACCTTTCTCTGCGGTCCATGGTTCTTTGGGACTGGTCACTTCGGGTAGCTCTTCTGCTGAGTTCTCGCGGTTTAGCTCCCCATGCTGTTCACATTCAGGGGGGTGTCTAACACCCTAGCGGACGGTCTGTCTCGCTTCATTACTCTTTCCACGGAGTGGACTGATAACCCAGCCTCTTTCCTTTTGGCTTTGTCAGACGTTCGGACGCCTGGAAATGGACCTCTTCGCATTGGCTTAGTCCCGGCGACTGCCCATACACGTGGCATCGTTCCCCGACTGCGAGGCGTTTGCAGTGGACACTTTGCAGCAGGCATAGTCAAAGTGGGGGTTCCTGTAAAGTGGGGATTTCATTTCCCGGTCCAGCTGTTGCTTCAGGTTCTGTCTCGACTTGGATCCTGTTGGGAAAGAGTGATTCTCCTGGCACCATGGTGGCCGGCCCAGCCTTGGATTCAAATGCTGCTTGCACAGTGTCAGAACCTGAGAGTTTTTCCGCAGCTCTGCTTCTTTCAGCAGGTCAGGCCGGTGAGGTACCTCGCTGGTTTGGCTTATTTTTTCGCACTTTGTGTCTGGTTTTTCTGGCGCGGGTGTATCACCATTTGTATAGTGATCAAATGGGGGACAGTATGAAGTCTCTTGGAGGTCTTTCCACCATTTCCTTTCCCTTCGTAGGGTTTCGCCGGTGTCTGTTCTGGTTGTTTTGTCTTTTCTTTCTTGGCTTTTTCCATTACCTGCATCTCATACCGAATACTGTCTCTTCATATCATGCGGCATTGGCGAGTCGCTCCAGCTTGCGTTCGGGGTAGATGTCACATCCGCTCCGTTGCAAAAGCTCTCTCGTGCATTTTTTCACCTCTGGCCTGCTCATGCGCCACCCGAGTCTTTTTGGTCTTTGGGCCATGTGCTCATTTCTATCTTCTCCTTGGTTTGTCATGGCCTCTTCGGTCCGGGATTGTTTTCTAAAGGCCTTGTTTTTCTTGGCTTTTAGCATCTGGGGGTTGGGTGGGGGAGCTTCATACTCTTCTCTGGCACAGGTGTGTCTGCTCTTTTGGTCCTGGGGTCATTTTGTTTGTTTGCAGCCTTCTCCTCCTTTTCTGGTGAAGAATGAGGCTGCTGGTTTCCAGAGGGGTCCGTTGGTTGTTGATGCTTGGTTGGTTCGGCCAGGGGTGCATTATGTTTTATGTCTGGTTGCGGCTTTACGTCGCTACCTGCACACTACTGGTTCAGGGACAGTGAACGCGCTCTGAATAGACCTGGTCTCCCTGGTTCACTGTTCCAAGGCTCGTGTCTCTCAGGTTGTTTGCAGGGTTATTAATATTAAGTCTAGCCAGCCTGGGGTCTACCCTCATGCCCATGATGGGAGGAAGTATGCACCTCTTGCTGCTTTAGAAATATGTCTCGGGTCGACATTGGGGCACGAGGTTTTGGAAATCGAAATTTGGAAATGACACAGGGTCCTGGCCGCTGGATATCTTGTTAACGTTTCAGGTCCTCTGCGACCTTGTGTTGCTTTGGGACGTCTGTCGCGGCCTGCTCTCACATCTTTGTTGTGAGACTTGTGGTGCTGCCGCCTCCCAGGTATCTCCCTGTTTTTACTTATCCGTGGGTAGTTAGCTCCAGGGAGCCAACAGGGCTCCCCACAGAAAACTAGCGTTGAATTTACAGTAATGAAACTCAATTTTCTGGGCGAGCCCCAGAGGCTCCCTGACACCCGCTCTCCCTCCAGTTGGCGGTTTTCATCATTCTACAAACTGGGTGTGGTGCAGCTGGCTCGCCTGAGCGGCCTTCCCCCTGTCGGGGCTGGGGGGCACTAACGAATGGGTGCGCTAGTTAGATGATGTTTTGCTTGTTTCATTGTTTTCTTTTGGGGGAGTTCCTTGGCTCTTTTCAGACATAGTTTTCCATTTTAACCAATTAGAGGTTTGTATTGTTTTGCCTACCTTTCTGGTGGTATCCCAGTGACATGATGGCAGACATGACAAACTCTAAATGTAGAGTGCTCATATGGCCATTGCTCCCTGCACCTCTCTGAGGGGGGGGGGGCAGGTTATGGCTTGTGGCCCCTGGTAGGCATTCAAACCCCAGGGACTGATGGCACCAAACTGATATGGCACATGTCAGTCTGATAGCTTCAGGGAGCCAACTGGGCTCGCCCAGAAAATGGCATTTTGTTACATTCAATGCTTGTGTTTTATTTATATTGCGTTTGTTAGCAAATAAATACTGTGTTGTTGCAATATTCTTTGCATCGTTTTCATCAGTGTAATGTGAGTTATTCTGGTCTCCTTGTCCCTCACTTACCATGTGATATTAATTGTAGTATATTCTTAGTAGCCAGTCTTCCACTATAAATCAGTTTTATGTTTACTGTAAACATTTCTTATACATCATATGAAGGAGAAGTTTGCAAAAAAATCCTACATAATATTATGCACCTATTTCTTCATATTCAGTGAGCTTGTGTCTAAGAATATTTTGTATCTTTCAGCATATCTTATTAGAACAGGAAGCTGAGAGGATCCGTTCAAGCATTAATACAGCCATACAGAATATAAAGAGAGTAGCTCAAGAGCTGACTGACTCGGCTCATAAGTTAGGTAAGTAATCACCATCACCGCTAATACTCAGTTTACGATATCCATTGTCATCCATTTAAAAAAATCTAGGTTACCCATTTGTAAACTGCCCAACCACTTGGTCTGGATGGTAGAGTGACAGTCTCACTTCTTTCAGATAGGTGTTCAATCTCTAATCATCCAAGTGCTTGGGCACCACTACTTCCCTCCATCCTATCCTAAATCCTTATCCTCATATCCCTTTCAAGTTCTATATACAGTAGTTGTAATGACTTACTGCTTTCTCCTGATAATTACCTTACCTTGCCACCAGTACTCACACACAGGAAAAAGTTCCACTGCAGTATTTTTGTTGTCTTGTAGTTCGTTGCTTTGGTTCAAGTTCAAGTACAAGTACGTTTATTGAGACAAGAAAATACATCTCAAAGGGATGGATGGAGTAGCTTAGTAGATGGAAATGTGGAACTTTAACAAAATAATGTACATGGTGCAGGGCACAGACTTATTCATAGAAGGAAAGCAACGTGTAAAAGATCTAGGAACTATGATTGTCTGATGACCTATTTGGCAAGTTTGGAAACAAGCATTTCACCCAACATGAGATATTTGTCTCTACAAGTGCTTCTTGCAGTGGGTGTTCAATACATTTCATTGTAGCATCAATGAAACGACCTGCCTTGGCTAGTAATGAAGAATGGCCTCAGTTTAGAGACAGACGACATGATTTTGCAGCACCTTAGTGACAAACCACAAGATTCTGCAACACCTTAGTGACAAACCACAAGATTCTGCAACACCTTAGTGACAAACCACAAGATTCTGCAACACCTTAGTGACAAACCACAAGATTCTGCAACACCTTAGTGACAAACCACAAGATTCTGCAGCACCTTAGTGACAAACCACAAGATTCTGCAACACCTTAGTGACAAACCACAAGATTCTGCAACACCTTAGTGACAAACCACAAGTTTCTGCGTTAATTCCATTTGGGCCCCTAGCGGTTGGAGGGTTAACCAATGCACTGTTCTGCATTAAAATATGACATCCTTGTGATGTGCCGTAAATAAATTTTCAAAAAATTATTTTCTCGTTTTATATTGTTAAAATTAAGTCTCTGATCACGGGAAATAAGAAAAAAATTGTATGTGGCATAATTTAGCCGTGAAGAAGCTGGGAAGTTGAGCAAATTATGGGTGCTGTGCGATGTAGCGCTCGGGCCGCTCGGCCCCACAACCCCGTGTGGCGGCAGTTGCCACGAATATAATGTTTCACAGTTATTTTTATCTTTCTCATTAGTTTCTTCTCTGGGTTTTTCCTGTAATATTATTCAAGTGTAATTTGTGGAATTTAGTTCAATGTGTGGAACATCTATACCTGTATGCTCAAAATTATGGAGCTCATATGTGTGACATATATATTATATTCTATGATCAATCGGTGTTTTTGCTGTTATTATACTATATACATACATTGTATGTACCTATCTACATACGTGTTCACCGTAACAAACCACTATCTTGGTATGGTGAGCCCAGAAAAACAAGAGTGGGCTGCCACACCAAGCCAGCCAGCTCCCTCACTCCTTCAACACCTAACTCGCCAACATTACTCACTCCACAATATTGTTAATAGTTTTATTAGCTTTTGTATGTTAATATGCATCCTGTTTGATTTCCTCAGAGAGTGTAGCTCGACAGTTAGAAGGTGCTTCTAATGATGGAGGGCCAGCTGAAGTTGACACAGGTGGAACTGCAGCGGAGGCACGAGCACGTGTCAGTCAGTATTTTGCACAGCTCAGGGACCAGCTTAACCGACAGGAAACGCAAGCAATGACTGTCTTAGATGCACATGTTCGTGAAAGGTTATGCTCTATTCGCCAGCAACAAGAAGACATGACTACACTATTATCTCAGGTGTGTGGGGTAGTTGTCTTTGCACAGCAATTGATATTCTAATTTTCAGGAAATTTGGTGACAAGAGTATTTATTTTTCTCCAGTGGAATTTGATGGTGCTGATTTTTTCTGATACTTTTGATTATGTGAGGTGTTGTGAATGATTAGGAGTCATTTTGAATATTTGTGTATTCCTTATTTTCTTGCATAGCATCCTTATCAGCACGTACAAGTGCCTCCCAAATCCATGACACTGGGGGAACAGGGTAATGATGAAGGCATTTTAAGTTGGGTCTGAGATCCCTCCTCACCCACAATAACAAGTTGGTGCAGTCAAGTGTTGTTTATGCCATGATTTAGAGAATGATTTGACACTCATATCTTATCTCTGGTTAAGGACTATAACTCTATTGGAAAATAATTTAAAAGATGGTTATTTAATGAAAAAGGAAATTTCCATTTGTGTACACAAATGGAAAGACCAAGATGTAAAGTGAAAACGAACAAAACTGAGAGCATTAAAATAAATATTGATAACACTAAAAATTACGTGTATAGAAACAAGATTATTAAGAAAAGTAAACTATTTTCATTAAAATGAAGGATCTGAAGGCATGTTGTAAATTATGTAAATACAGAAGATGAGTCCAGTATGTTATATAAGATGCCATGCTGTATAAGATGTATTTGTAAGAGTTAATGTCAGGTTGTATAAGATGTAAATTTAGGAATTACTGTAATGCGAAATTGTGTAAGTTGAAAAGGTATGAGTTAATGCCAGGTTGTATAAGATGAAAATGTATGAGTTAGTGCCATGTTATATAAGATGGAAATGTATGAATTGATGAGATAAGATAGGAGTGTGTACATCTGTAACAGATGGTGGCTGTGGTGGTTGACGGAGAGCGTGCCATTCAACAAGATGATGGGCGGCTGATCGTGGCTTCTCAGGACCTCTCGGCTAGACTGGCTCACGTTACTTCTCAGGAGCAGCAGTTGGCTCAGCTAGCATCACTAGTTCCAGATCCTGCCATACCTATTACATTTACCAAGGTAAGCATCATGAATTTAAGTCCTAATGTGAATACTAATTTTTAATCTTAAAATTGAAGTAAGGTAGTTATTGAATTACAAGAAATTAAACCTTTAATACAGATTATTGTTATTTCTAGTAATATATTCTCAATAATCTTTAGCAGCTGTTCAATGAGAATAAAATTTACACTAACTCTATATATTATCTATATTTTATGTGTTTTCAAAGTGCTTAACAAAAAAATTATGAGTGTATAGTACCGGTACTTGGAAAATTCTGTTATATTCGTGATTATCCAAGAGGAAAAATTTAAACTCGTTCCTTTTAATTTTTCTCTTCGTCTTAAATACAAGCACTGTAAATCAATTTCGTAATTAGTTCTTAAATTACAGTACTGGAATACCATAGAAATAGACAAGATAAGTTGAACCATATTATAGAGCTGGTTGCTGTGGAAAATTGGATTAAAGTGTAGTTTCAGTTTCATCATGATGTTTCACAGTTTGTGGAACTTGGTGTCTGCTTCTGCCCTGAGTGTAGCATTCCCTGGTGCTGCTAAAGCTGTTAATCACCACAGATATTTTCACTTAGATTTTTATGCTCCTTCCTTGGCTCGGCTCCTCTTGAGTCGAGCCTGTGCTTGCATATCAGTGACTATGGGGAAGGAGATCTTGCTCTTTATGCATTCTCCACCTAACCTTTTATACCTGATTTTCTAATACTTAATGCTGAAGTTCTTTTTCTTCATGTTATGAATGTAAATGGTGTCAGTAACATCCTCTTACAAGTGCAGATGATGATTCACAATAATGTGGCTGAAGTATGTTGAGCAGACCACACACTAGAAGGGAACGGACCGAAACGTCGTCGTCCCTTCACCTTCTAGTGTGCGGTCTGGTCAACATCCTCTTACAACAATGTATTCCATTTAGTACAAGAATTTCCTTCCATCTCTACAGTTCATTTGTATATAAAACTTCCACCTCCTTTCAATTTAAATAGGCTGTGTTAACCATGTCTGTTCCCATCAGTACTGTTTCTTCTTTAAAGTTGCGAAATTGAGTTCCATTAACTGTCCTCGTATATTAACCCTCTCGATTCTGGTACTAGTTTAGTACAGTGTCCCTTACATTTTTCCCCACATTCTCTCCTGTAAGGACAGAATGTGGGGAACATTGTCATTCGTGTCCTGTTCCCTCTTTGAATCCTTTCACCCAGTTGCTGACTTTTGCCTCCTTGGCATCTCTTCATGTGCATTTCAGAGTGCCATTTTTGCCTTGGATTTGCCCTGTCTATAAGTTTGTTTGCAGTTTCACTTCACTTACTATGTGGTAAAGCATGACTTAGATATTCTTTTTCCTGCTTCTTAAAGCTATTGCCAAGCATCAGTGTTGTATGCAAATACAGTTGCACTTGGAGCTCTTATGGCAAGGTGTCCATAAATGCAGAACTAATGTTAACTGGCTGAAAATGGAAATACTTTTAGTGTATTAAAAATATAAGTGTAGAATAACAAGCTTGAGTTTTGTTAATTTCTTTTTTAATTAATATTCCATGAAGATTAAAGTAGGTGAGAATCCCTTTAGCAATTTTCTGACACTTTGCTTAATAGGATTGTTAAGAATTTAGTTGAATGACAGGATGGTGGCGGCAATTAGTAAAGCATGTATTTAACAAAATTACATCATCAGTCAGTAACAGTCCCCCCTACTCTCTCTACCTTTCTCCCTCCTTCTATTCCATCCTTCTCTCCTCCTGACTTCCATCTTCCCGTTCACCCCTCGTTTTCTGTTGCCTCTCGGACTAGTTCCCTCTCTCCTCCCTCACTCCCTCCTCTCCAGTCTCACCTTCCCTCCTCCCTTATGCCTTCTTCCTTACTTTGCTTTACTTCTCATTAAAATGTAGGGATAAATATATAATCAGGTGTTACATATTGGTGAATAATGTTTGAATGAACGCACAGTATTTCAGTGTTCATGTCATATTATGTTCGGATTATAGAGTCGGCCTGTGAGTTTATTTAACTGTGACTGTCCCATGACCCATTACTTATATTTTACCGCTAACACACAAGGCTACTAATGAGAATTACTCTGCTTCTAAAATTTGTACACGTGGGTATCTTTTAAATTAGTCATTATTCCCATGTGCAGTAGCTTGGCTAAAGTTTTTATATAGCAGCATATTATCTATTACAGGATAATCGTATTCACATTGGAGCCAGAATTGAAATGCGTGTTGTAACTCTTGGTCTGGATGGTGCAGGCAAGACATCCATTCTTTTTAAATTGAAACAGGATGAGTTTGTTTCAACGATACCCACTATTGGTTTCAATGTTGAAACCATTGAATACAAAAACTTTAAGGTAGGAACTTTGAATTTTTTATCCTTTGTATAAATTATTAATTTGAATTGTAATTGTAGGTTGCTGTTTCCTAGCTAGTTGTTTGTATTGGCTCATCTATCTTTCTGGGTGCCCTTCCCGGTAGATGGAGGAATATAACAATTTAAATAGTGTGGTTATACACCATTGCTCTCTGCACCTCTCTGAGGGAACCAGGTTCTGGCGCTGGTTTCCAGTAGGCTTAAAGAACTCCAGTTACTGATGACCCCAAACTAATACAGTGACACCTTGGCTTACGAATGCCCCTCTTTACAAACTTTTCGGGTTACGAGCCCAATTTCTTCGTAAAATCCGAATCGGGTTACAAACTTTGCCTCGGGTAACGTAGCTGACCGCATATGGCTGACGTAGTACATTGTGGCATGGCGACTGCACTCCAGTTTACCAGTGCCTCCCGCCTAGTGACAATCGCGCCTGAATTCTTTGTAAAGAATTTCACTTTTTTTAATTTTTGGGTATTTGAACATAAAAGTAATTACAGTATTACATATCTTGCCATGGGTCCCAAGAAAGTCAGTGGTAAGGTTTAACCTTACCACTGACACCAGTGGCCACACATGTGTGGCCACGTCTGTGGTAGAAAATAATAAAAAAAAAAAAAAACTGACACCAGTCTCCGTGGTGTAGTGGTAAGACACTCACTTGGCGTTCCGCGAGCGCTGTGTCATGGGTTCGTATCTTGGCCGGGGAGGATTTACTGGGCGCAATTCCTTAACTGTAGCCTCTGTTTAACTAAACAGTAAAATGGGTACTTGGATGTAACAATGATTCTTTGTGGGTGTCGTATTCCGGGGACCTGCCTGAAACACTACATGTACTAGTGGCTGTACAAGAATGTAACAACTCTTGTATATATCTCAAAAAAAAAAAAATAAGAAAATAGTTGTGAGTAGTGGCAGTAGAGGATGTCCCTTCCTTATTAAAAAACTGTGTGAAGTATAGGAAGACCTGTAAAGTTTTGTTGGAAACCTCACCCAGATAAGGCTGTAGCAGGCCGTTGCATTGACCTTTTAAATGACAATGTGATTTCTCACTACAGACAGGTGTTAAAATGTAGGGAAAAACGAGTGTCTTTAGACAGATTCTTAGTACGTCAAGCAAGCAGTGAGCGACAACCAGATCCTAGTGGTATCTTAGAGAAGTCATCACTGCCTGATGTTATAATGGAAGAGGACTCCGCTTCCAAACTCTAACACCTCTCCTCCTACCCCCTCCCTCACCGTCTTCCATATGCCAACAAGTCATCAGTAAAGGTAAGCAATAACTTGTACATACTTTAGTACTAAAGATTTGGGTAAATTAGGAATAAATTTACTCTGAAGTTAATATTTTTGGGAATGTGGAACAGATTAATTCAATTTACATTATTTCTTATGGGAAAATTCACATTGGTTTAAAAATTTTTGGGTTATGAACCGTCTCTGGGAACGGATTAAATTCGTAAGCTGAGGTACCACTGTATAGCACATATCAGTTCAGATAGCTTCAGGAAGCCTTCGGGGCTTCGCCCAGAAAATGCCGTTTCATTACATTCAATGCCAGATTTTTATGTCCGTGTTTCTATAGCCACATTTTAAGGATTTCCTTTGCATGGAAAAGTTGTATAAGAGAACACTGCTAGGAGTACTTAATAAGAATTTTGTAAATCAAATTATGAATGAGGTGTTATTTAGGGGAGAGTATATTGAGCAGACTGCAAGATGGAAAGTGAGCCATCCCTAGGATGTGACACTGACTGGGGGATGTACACTGATGTAGGGGCTGACAGGACACTGGATTACGATGTGGATGCAAATTATAGCTTGTATAAAAATTTAATTGAAGACCAGGAATGTAATACTGTACCTGTATACCATATTAATTGAATAAAATAAATAATAATAACCTAAAATAGATAGCCATGGAAATAAATAACCTTACCTGATGAAAGCTATCTACAAATTAATTTAAAATGGGGAAGTGTATCTTGACCAGCAATTTATCAATACTGTATCAAGAACAATGAAATTATATTTAACATAGATTAGGGAGAAGAGTGTACCATTGAAAAAATTTGTTAATTCAAATACAACACTGTACTGTACATAACTGATAGTGTGTGTGGGCATTTTAAAGAAGTAATTTGTCTGTATTTACTAGTAAAATACTTTATATTTTACCTACTGAACAAATTTTCAGGTTACCAGGGAAGAAATTTTTAAACAAATAGAAAAATTAAAGCTTAACATGTCCTCAGTACTAGACAAAGTATTTGCCAGTCCCTCAAGAATGTAAAGATAAGCTTGGTAAGTCCTTGTTATTCATATTTAATAAATCATTAGTCAATTGGAGTACCTGAATTGTGGAGAGTTGCAAACAAGGTGTCACTGTAGGAAAGTGTGAAAATTACTCTAGTCAAACTATCCAGCTTTTTCTCTAGGGGAGGGTTGGTTGGTTTGGAAGACGGCTCGGCTCCGGGTCCTCGGAGTGGGGTTCCCAGAGCAGGGGAGGGGTTGACTTGGGGGCCTTAGGCCCCTGTTGGACCCTACCTGGGTTTTTCTACCTTCGGAGCGGGGTTTGGTGTTGCAAGGAGTGGGATTCTCTTCCTCTCTCTCCTTGTAGAAATTGGATTTGACGTCTACCCCTTCCCGGGTTTGATTCCGTGATCATGTGGGCTCTTCAATTTCATCCTTTTGGAGATTTTTGGCTTCCCGCATCCCATCCCATGTGGTGCGGGAAGCCCTTGCGGCTTACCTCCTGCACAACCCAGATTATGACTTCGTAATGGATCCGTGTTCCTTTGTGTATGGATATTCTTGTTCTTAGTTGGTTTGTTATGAAGTTCTGGAGTCATCCTGGTTAGCAGACTGCCCTCTTTTCTCGGAGGCTTGGCATTCATTCTGTAGGTCCTGCACGCTTAAGGGAAGGAGGCTCAAACAGCGTTGCAGGTTTCTTGTGAGGCGACTTCATGCATCTCAACAAGTGCTTGTTCGCCCCTGCCCTTCTGTGGGATGTTGATGTTGTGCAGCTCCATGTGCAGGTTCCCTCCCTTTTGGCTGCATTAGTCGCGTAGGATTTGCGCACGCGTGGCCTGTTTGCTTTGGCCCTGCGTTTCTTCTCCCTCCTCATGCTGTCGTCGAACTGGCTCGAGTTCTATGTAGAGGAGTTTGGGGCCACCTCTGGCTCTGATGCGTTGCCTTGTCGGTGCGTGTGTCATCTGCCTTGTTGAAGTCAAAACCGCAGGATGTGGTTTTGCGGTTTTTTGCTTCCCGACTTGCGTGTCGGCAGGCGGTGCTCGCTTCTTCCATGGAATCTGCTTGGGCCTTGGCTCTTCGACTTTCTTCACCTTTTTGCCCGTGGCTGTTTGCAGGGTCTGCAGTTGTGCAGTATCTGCAGGCAGCTTCGTCTGTTTGCCGTCCTATGTTGTACTTTAGTCCTCTGGGGGTCTCATGGGGAGGCCTTCCCAGAAGGATCGTGCCAGGGCTCGGGGTTCTTCCCATCGTGGTAGGCCAGTGGTGCCAGATTCAGTGCAGGTGCAGCCTTTGGTGCCGTCTGTTTCTGTTCAGTGCGGGGATCGCGCTGGGTACTGCTTAGGTGCTTGTAAGGTGTGTCGGCCCTTTTGCGGTTCGTTCCAATTAACGGGGTGATGGGGGGAAAAGGCTGGCTCTGTTTGCTAGCACCTGGTCCCGCAATTTGTGGGCCCTCGGGTCATTTCATAAGGCCTGCAGTGGCATTGGGTGGCTCCTCCTCATTCGGGGGTGGGGGGGGGATTCAAGCCTGGCAAGGCAGGCCTCTTGTCCTGCACTCTGTAGGGTCTTCTCGGAGTGGGTTCGCTTGGGCGTGGTCAAAACAACCTTGTGCCTCAGGTGGGTTTCCCGCCTGTTTCCGGTCCCGAAACGGGTCTGTGCGGACTCATTCTAGACTTGTCCCGTCTGAACCCATGGGTTTATTGCCCCTCCTTTTGGATGACTCTTCTGTCTTAGGTCCATCTTCTGATGGAGCAGGGCACTTGGATGGTGTCCCTGGACCTCAAGGACGAGTATTGGCATGTCCCGATTCATCCGAGGTTCAGGGACTGGCTCGGTTTTGTTGTGGGGTGTCAGGGTTACCGCTTGCGTTACCTTCCATTCGGCTTGAATCTGGCGCCTCGTGTTTACACATGCCTTACTCGGGTCATGGTGGCCTGCCTGCGTCTGTTAGGGTTCTGCCCTACCTCGATGACTGGCTGGTTTGGGTTCCCAGCCAGTTCGCTGGGTTTGGGTTACTGGCAGATGTCCCGTCTGGTTCCCTCTCAGGTTCGGTCTTGGCTGCGTCTTGTGTGGGACTCTCGGACCGCTTCCTTGTCTCTTTCTCCAGTGGCTTAGCTTCGGCTGCGTTTCCGCCTTCGTCTGTTCCTGAGGTGCTTTCGGGATCACGAGTTGTTGCTCAAGGGTTTGTTTTGGGGCGCCTACCTTACTGGATGCCAGACCTGGTCGATGGCAGACGTAGAATGCTTCCAACTACATGCGGGTTTCTATAGGCCATTCCTCCTCGTGCCTCTCTGAGGGGGCCAGATTCTGGCTCGTGGTCCCCGTTAGGCAAGAACTCCATGCACATTGACTGATGCCAAAAAGCTAATATATCCATAGCCTGGATAGCTCTGGGAAGCCTCAGGGTCTCACCCAGAAAATAGTGTTTCATTACATTCAACGCTGTTTTTTTTTTTTTTTTTTTTTTTTTTTTTTTTTTTTTTTTTTTTTGCAGGGTCATGCCAGCTTACCAAGTCAGCTTAGTGGAGCAAGTACCATATTGTAATTTACCAATAACTTCCCTGTTAGCAAATTATTTCCAGTCCCCTAGGTTTCTAGTCCAACGTGATCCATTCGAGCAAACTACCATTATATTGATTGCCATGCAAGATATTTATGGAATTCTTTCTTTTAAGAAATTAATTTATTGTATCTTTTTAGAAGTTAGAACATAAAAGCCCCAAAACTTATTTCATGTATTTATATTGTTCACTAAACAGTTTACAGTGTGGGATGTTGGTGGTCAACCCAAGCTGCGACCTCTCTGGCGACACTATTACTTCAACACTCAAGCTGTCATATTTGTTGTGGATGCCACAGATGTCGACAGACTTCTCGAGGCTCAGTCAGAACTCACAAAGCTTATGACAGAACGTGAATTAAAGGATGCTTCACTTCTTATCTTCGCTAATAAGGAAGTAAGCTTGTTACATGTGGTTGAAAACATTGTTTATCTTATTAGATTACCAGTTGATTCTTCAATGAGTTGCTTCTTTGAATAAGGATTTCTGTTCTCTTTGAGGAGAGAAACACAAATTGTTGGTTTATTTGCAGACACATTGCAGTGTCTGCAAAGAAACGGTGTTCAAGTGTTATTAACCTTTTATCTGGAAGCCATTTTGTAGCATGCTGTTCTAGTTTATTTATGTGCTTCTTGAGATTTGGGCACCATACAACTGCTGCATATTCCAATTTTGGTCTCACAAAAGTCATGAACAATTTTAGTTTTTCACCATCCATGTAATTAAAAGCAAGTCTGAAGTTGGAAAGCAACTCATATGCTCCTCTCACAGTGTTCTTTATATGTTCCTCTGGCAACAGCTTACTATCCAAAACCATCCTCTAGACCTCATTCTTTATTAGAGTTCTGTAATTCCTTTCTACATAATTTGTAAGTTATGTGTGGTCTATTTTCTCCAGTTCCACATTCCATAACATGGCATTTATTCACATGATGCTCTAAGCACTTATTTTATCTAGATCATTTTGAAGGGCATTACAATTGTCTGCATCGCCTATCTTCCCCAGTATCTTAGCATCATCTGCAAACATGTTCATATAATTCTGTATTCCTTCTGGTAGATCGTTTATGTAGACGATGAACATTACTGGTGCATGAACTGAACCCTGTGGTACTCCGCTAGTATCACTCCTCCAGTCAGATACATTGTCTCTGATACTGCCCTCATCTGTCTGTCAGGTAGAAAATTTTACATCCATGTCAGAAGTCTCCTGGTCACTCCTCCAGCATGTTCCAGTTTCCAGAACAGCATCTTGTGTGGCACTCTAAAAAACCTTTTTAAGGTCCAGACAGACAGTCAACCCAACCACCTCTTTCCTGTAGTATCTCTGTTGCTCTATCATAAAAGCTAAGTAGATTTATTACACAGGATCTTCCTGATCGAAAACCATACTGTCTGTCTGTTATTACATCATTACACTCTCTCTAGGTGTTCAACCCATTTGGCTTTAACTATTTTTTCTAGTGTTTTGACCACCACGGTTGGTAATGACACGGGTCTATAATTTAGAGGTTCTCTCAATTACCATATTTATAAATTTGTGCTGTGTTTGCTTTTTTCCATATATCTGCTAAGATTCCTGTGCACAAGGTTGTCTGGAATATTAATTGGAGTGGAATGCTCAGGTCAGTTACACATTCTCGCTGCACTCAAGGTGAAACTCCATCAGGTCCAACTGTCTAAGCAGTTGCTTGTTTTGGTGCACTTCATTTTCTGGTGACTTTCCTTTTGGTAGTGTGATTGATGTAGTATCCCCACTTCCCTACGCCTTTATTGATTTATTACTATGCCTTTATTCATTAGAGGCTGGTGTAGTGCCAAGTAGGTAGCTCGAATAGATACCAAGGGATCCATCAGAAAGAGACATTTCATTACGGTAAATGCTGGATTAAAAAAAAAAATGTGGTTTTCACTATTGGGGTGACCTGGTTAATTGGGAAGTAGTTATGTAATTGAATTTGCCAGTTTAACACTGATAAATTAATTTGAAGAACCATATTTATTCGTCACTGGTTAACCCAGAAAACTGAAAAATAGATAACTGGTCAATTGAAGTTCCACTGCAGGTCATATATTGGTCATGCCATTAGTTTTATAGAGGTAATGTATGTCCACTATTATAAATAAATGACAAAATGAAAATTTGATTAAAGTCTCAATGCCTAATTGTGTACTGATAATATTTCATTATATTTTCTGGAATATGTAATGCATTTTGGTAATTTAAAGTCACATTTCTTGACAGAACTGTGAGCATGCATTGGGAATGGCAGCCTTGACTGACAGCCTGGGTGTTCACAAGTTGTGTCTTGGGCGATCATGGCACATCCAGCCATGTGATGCCCAATCAGGAACTGGTTTACATCAGGGTCTAGACTGGCTAGCACAGCAGTTGGTACCCTCAGAAGTTCTAAACTCTGCTGTGTGATCCTATTTTTCCCTTAAAATATGAAAAATATAACATTTTATTAAATGGTAAACAAATTTAGTATAGACCATTTTAATGTATTTTCAGAAAAGAAATAGTTTAGCGAGTATATGGCTGAAATTGATTTGTATAATGTATTCATAGACAGATGAAGTTTGAAGAAAACTATGAGCAAAGCTCTGGAGGCTTCAGTGGGTTTAGCCATAACATATGAACTTGCATACAATACAAAACTAAAATTGTGCAGAAAATTTAAAAATATTTAAATTTCTTACAGTATTTTTAATAAGCGATAGTTTGTTAACACGAGAGCATTATACAGTACAATATATGAAGTTTCAAGTGCTGTATTCGGTTACGAAATATTTAATTTTTTCCTTAATATTATTGTATAATATTACTACAGCAAGACACAAACTTGTAGCTTTATAAGCAATGTTATTCTTATTGCTTTGACATTCGTACTATACATGTAGCAGATTTAATATTTAAATTGCCATAGGAATGAGGAATCATATTCTAGGTTGAATATCATTACGTAAAAATAACTAGACGGTATTTATCACCAAAAATTTTCTGCAATTCAATTTTATGCAATTTCATTATGTTAAGTAAAGCAATAATTGCACCACACACACACACAACTAGGTGAGTACACACACACACAACTAGGTGAGTACACACACACACACACACACACACACACAAACTAGGTGAGTACACACACACACGAAAGGATAAGAAATTTAGATGAATGTCATGCCCTTCAAGAAGACCTGGACAAAATAAGTATATGGAGCACCACCTGGCAAATGGAATTTAATGTTAATAAATGTCATGTTATGGAATGTGGAATAGGAGAACATAGACCCCATACAACCTATATATTATGTGAGAAATCTTTAAAGAATTCTGATAAAGAAAGAGATCTAGGGGTGGTTCTAGATAGAAAACTATCACCTGAGTACCACATAAAGAATATTGTGCAAGGAGCCTATGCGATGCTTTCTAACTTCAGAATTGCATTTAAATACATGGATGGCGATATACTAAAGAAATTGTTCATGACTTTTGTTAGGCCAAAGCTAGAATATGCAGTTGTTGTGTGGTGCCCATATCTTAAGAAGCACATCAACAAACTGGAAAAGGTGCAAAGACATGCTACGAAGTGGCTCCCAGAACTGAAGGGCAAGAGCTACGAGGAGAGGTTGGAAGCATTAAACATGCCAAAACTAGAAGACAGAAGAAAAAGAGGTGATATGATCACTACATACAAAATAGTAACAGGAATTGATAAAATCGACAGGGAAGATTTCCCGAGACCTGGCACTTCAAGAACAAGAGGTCATAGATTTAAACTAGCTAAACACAGATGCCGAAGAAATATAAGAAAATTCACCTTCGCAAATAGAGTGGTAGACGGTTGGAACAAGTTAAGTGAGAAGGTGGTGGAGGCCAAGACCGTCAGTAGTTTCAAAGCGTTATATGACAAAGAGTGCTGGGAAGACGGGACACCACGAGTGTAGCTCTCATCCTGTAACTACACTTAGGTAATTACACACACACACACACACACACACAAAATGGCAGTGTAAGTAACTGCATAATTGAGTGGACTTTATACTGTATGAGATGTAACAAATATCAAGAGAAGATGAGCCTACCATGTCTATTTACTTTTGCAAAAAAGTGATATCATACATAGAACAAGAGGAGCTATGTTTAGGCTTTAGTCCAGGAACAAGTCACATGGTGCACATTACAACACCACTTGTCTATGTTTAGTTAACTGCTTATACAGTAATATCAAAAACACACCAACTAAAGAAAACTGAATGTACATAAGCTTAAAATGTATTTTGACTATTCACATTGTATATAATATTTATAGTGCACATAAAATTTAGTTATTTAAATAGTTATTTACGATTCATCGAGAATTATTTAGAGTTCCCGAGTCCTGGAAAATATCTGTTACCCCATTTCCAAAAATTATAATGAAAAATAAATTGTTGTAATTATTTACCTATGCTAAGTGTACAAATTATTCCTTACAAATACAAAAATAGTACCAAGACACCAAATATTTGTTATGAATCCAGAATATGGAGTTTCTAGGAGTAATATGAAATCCTAGAAATTGCATAACTCCCCCTTATTTTGTAATTAACAATCATATGTATATATGCTAAGAATATAAAATATTGCATGATGAAAGCAATATTGGGTCTAAAATATCAACTATTTGTTTTAAATGATGATTGGTGTTAAGTCAGAAATATACCAAGTTACCTGGTTGATGGGGTTCTGGGAGTTCTACTCCCCAAGCCCGGCCCGGGGCCAGACTTGACTTGTGAGAGTTTGGTCCACTAGGCTGTTGCTTGGAGCGGCCCGCAGGCCCGCATACCCACCACAGCCCGGTTGGTCTGGCACTCCTTGAAGGAAACAATCTAGTTTCCTCTTGAAGATGTCTACGGTTGTTCCTGTAATATTTCTGATGCTCGCTGGTAGGACGTTGAACAACCGTGGACCTCTGATGTTCATACAGTGTTCTCTGATTGTGCCCATGGCACCTCTGCTCTTCACTGGTTCTATTCTGCATTTTCTTCCATGTCGTTCACTCCAGTACGTTGTTATTTTACTGTGCAGATTTGAGACCTGTCCCTCCAGTATTTTCCATGTGTATATTATTTGGTATCACTCTTGTCAGTTGCCACCAGGAATATCTTATAAATTTGCTAATAAAAGTAAGTAGGGAGGGCACAATAAACTACTGCTCACAGGATCAGTCTGGAATGCACAATGAGGTGTTCCATTCACAGGATGAAAATTGGGTTCACAAACTACCACTCATAGGATTAGCATTGGTAAAAATTAAACTAACACAAGGTTATTATGGGGTATACAATAAACTACTGCCCTCAGAATGAATAATATAGGGTGCTCAATAAACTGCTAGCCACAGGATAAGTATGGGGCATCAATAAACTCCCACTCGGGATGAGTATAGGGTGCACAATAAGCCACCTTTCACAGCATGAGGATAGCGTACATAAACTACCACTCACAGGATGAATGTGGGATACACAAATAAACTACCACTGCTAGGATGAGTATTGATTGTACAATGGACCACCACTGACAGGATGAGCATGGGGTGCTCAGTACACTCAATACACCAGAGTGGTAGATGGCTGGAACAAGTGAGGTGGTGGTGGAAGCCAAAACCGTTAGTAGTTTCAAAGCGTTATATGACAAAAAGAGTGCTGGGTAGACGGGACACCACGAGCCTAGCTCTCATCCTGTAACTACACTTAGGTAATTACACTACTACTCACAGGATGAGTATTGAGTGCACAAAACATTGGACATAAGATGAGTGGGGTACATAGTAAACTATTTCTGACATGTATGAGTATAGGGTATACAATAAACCACTCAAGATGAGTAGGAGGGATGACTAAACCACACACCAAAAGATGAAGTCATTTCTTCATCTCGTGGTGTGTGGTTTGGTACAACATATCTTCAGCCACATTATTGTCACTCATCGTCTGCACACGAGTAGGGGGGTGCACAATAAACTGCCCCTTATAGGATGTGCATGGACAATAAAGAAATAAGACTGCATACAGAATGAGTATGGGGTGTATAATAAACTACTACTCATAGGATAAGTACCAGATATGTAATAAACAACCACACATTGATAATTACAGTACTAGATATGTAATATACTAATGCTGATAAGTATTGGGTACACAATAAACTACTGTGAGCCGTTGTTTATTGTATACCCCAAACTCACTCTCACAGGATCCGTGGTGTAGTGGTAAGACACTCGCCTGGAGTTCCGTGAGCGCTTTGTCATGGGTTCGTATCCTGGCCGGGGAGGATTTCCTGGGCGCAAATCCTTAACTGCAGCCTCTGTTTAACTCAACAGTAAAATGTCTACTTGGTTGTAACAACGATTCTTCGCGGCGGGGATCGTATTCCAGGGACCTGCCCGAAACGCTACGCGTACTAGTGGCTGTACAAGAATGTAACAACTCTTGTATATACTGTATGTCAAAAAAAAAAAAAAAGGATGAGTACTGCATACACAAATTATCACTCGTGCACAGTGTGTGTATGGGATATGCCATAAACTACCACTCATGAGGATGTTGTGTACCCCCATGGGATGAGTATGGGGTGTACAATGAAATGCAGCTTACAGGATGAGTTGGACATAAAATAAACTGGCACTAGTATGATGAATATAGACAATAAATAATAAGTGACTGCATAGGATGAGCATGGGTGCACAATAAACTATAGCTCATAGGATATGTACTGAATATGCAATAAACTACTGCTCACATGAGTATTGGGCACACACTATATTACCACTGATAGGATCAATATTGAGGACACTTTAGGTACTGTGAGCAGTAGTTATTGTGTATTCCATATTCACAGGATGAGTATTGGGTACACTAAACTGTCACGCATGAGCAGGATGAATATCGGGGTACACAAACTACCACTCTCAGGATAAGCTTTTGAGTACACAATAAACTACAGCTCATGCACATGATTATGGGGGTATGCAGTACCTACCACTCACAGGATGAGTATGGGGTATGCAAACTACAAGATGAGTATGAGGGTAGAAAATATACTACCACTCACAAGATGAGTATAAGGGTACACAATAAACAACCGATCATAAGAAGGTACAGTACTATACTAATACTGGGGGAGCGGATAGGACAAGATACAGTGCGAGTTTGAAACACACGGTAGAAAACTATGGGGATGTACTTTCTGATTTTACTTTTGAGCACGCCATAGGTTGGGCAACTTTTTAATTAGAGAGTTCCATAGACAGGGTCCTTTTATTTGCATCGAGTGTTTGCACAGATTTAGTTTGACTCTGGGGATATCAAAGATATATTTATTTCTGGTGTGGTGCTCATGGGTTCTCTTTAACACCTATCATCCCCTTCCTTTCCAGCCCGTTGTCGTCGTGAGGTAGGGGGGGGGGAGCTTGGTGGGCGGCTGCCGGGGTGTGATGCTCCATGGAACATTCCTCTATCCTTTTGAAGCCTTATGTTCCTGCTGCCATCTTCACTAATTATGCTGGATGACTTTTCCTCTTATGTTTCATTTTTCCTCTCCCCACCCCCCCTTTTCTTCTTTCTGATTGTCATTTCCTGCAACTTTTTGCCATTCTTTATTATTCTTTCAGTTATCTACTTTTGTTTTGATGCCAGGTGTTTGGGGAGGCACTCACCCGTAAACCTGTGGTACCCAACGTTTCGAGTGAGGGCGACGCTTTTACTGTCAATATTTGCCTTCGTTGCTGAACCCAATCTCGACGGACTGACGGTTCTTAAGGTGGCAATTGCAGGGCTTATACCTACGATGCACCCATGGGGGGGGGGCTGCTTGATGGGGTTCTGGGAGTCCTTTTACTCCCCAAGCCCAGTCCGAGGCCCAGGCTTGACTTGTGAGAGCTTGGTCCACCAGGCTGTTTTTTGGCGCTGTGCGCAGGCCCACATACCTACCACAGCCCAGTTGGTCTGGCACTTTTTTTTAGAAAACAATCTAGTTCTCATGAAGATGTCCATGGTTGTTCCGGCAAGATTTCTTATAGTCGCTGGGAGGACGTTGAACAACCGTGGACCTCTGATGTTTATACAGTGTTCTCTGATTGTGCCTA